CCTTGGATCAGGGGTCTCTTCCTTTTTTTTCCTCCCTTTCCCTCCATTTCTCCCATCCCCACCATTCAAATTTTTTTATTAAACAATTTTTTTAAATGAAAAAATTAATAAATGGTGAGAATGGAGGAAGTAGAGAAAAATGGAGGAAAAGGAAGTAGAGAGACCCCACTTCCCTGGACCTTCATGTCAGTCATGTCGTGTCACCCTCCACCCACCACATCATCGCCATTTGGAACTCTCCCCATGCCATATCATTACCATGTCAGTAACTTGTTTTTTATTTTCTTTAATTAAGACTTTGCCACAACTCAAACCCAAAGATATTTTTCTTTTCGTACACATCTTTTGCCAGTTGAGCTGTAATAATTTTTTATTTTTAATATACAATATTTGATATATATATATATATACACACACACACATACACAAATACATATATTACTTAATTGAACATATATATTCAACATAATCTAATCTTTTATTTATTTCATATATTATTATTATTATTGTCATATATATAAATTAACACACATAAATGTATAAATCAATATATATTATTAATAAATAAATATATTATTTGAAATCTATTAATATATATTATTAAAATAAATATTTTTGTATATTATTTTATATCATCTATGTTATAATTAAAACATTTCATATGATAGAAATTTTATTTTTATATGTAAATTTACATAATAAATGAAAAAATATTTTATATTGTTCTTCTATATCATGTTATACTATTTATTTTACTTATAATATAAAAATATTTTTAATTATTACTTTTGTAATTTTGAATATTTTTATATGAATATGTATGCAAATTATAATTTTTAAAATTTATAAAATATTTAAATACGTTTTATTAATTTTTAATTAAAATTATGTGCCACTAACGCAAAGACTTGGTGAGTAAAATGTGATGGCATTTTATATTCGTCACTAATTTACGTAATTAGTGATAAATTTTAGTTCAAAAATTTCTGTCACTAATATCTATATTTTATTGATCATTAAATATTTAAATGTTTCATCAATAATTTTAATTTTTCTAATAGTGCAACTAAGGGCCACTTTGTCCATTTTTTTAATGTGTGCTTGGATTTCAATTGGTAAAAATTGCTTATAAAAAAATTAGTTAATAAAATGTAACGATATTTGAACAATATTTTTAATTAAAATTTATTTTAATAATTGAAGATGTTTATATAATTTTTAAAAATCGATTATAAAGATAGCATGTGGGGAATGGAAAATGCTCATAGGCTAAAAATTGGTTATCAAATAGGAAAAAATTAGCTTATTCAAAATGAAGTTTCACAAGCCTAATGAAGTTTTGTAAAAGTGAGACATTTTGAATAATTTTTCGCAAAACTATGATTTTTTGTTCCATAAGCAATTTCAAATGGGTATCCAAACTAGCCTTTGACTTTTAAATTAAACGAACTTGTGCAGAAAAAACCTATGAATAATAAAGGAGAAAAAATGAAATAATAAAATTATATGATTTAAGATTTTCCTATAGGAGGATAGTACAAGGGTAGTTTGATTGGAATAAACAATTACTCCTTTTATTAAAAAATATAAGATATTTTTAATCAAATTTAATCATCTAATAAAGTAGTTACCTACTTTAAAACTAACCCTATTTTTTTATATTTATCTCTATTAAACACTCTATAATAAATATAAAGTTATTTATTAATGAGGGCACTTTTAAAAAAAAGGCAACGATTGCATTTCGAAAGATTAAGAATACCTTATATTTTTTTTAACATTCAACTCATCAAAAAATATTTTATATTTTTTGATAGAGGGAGTAGTACCCATTTCGTCTTTATATATAAAGTGTTTTTTATTGAATTCCATACAGTAATAAAGATTTATTATTTAATTAAAATTATGTAAAATCACAATAATTTTTTTGCATTATCCCTAATAACGTCACATTAATACTATGGTGATGATGGATAAAGCATACATTTAATATCTCATTCCTTTTTCAAAATAAGGGGTATGATTATATAATCATTTAAAAATATTGTGACACTCTTTCAAATAAAATAATATACATGCTGATAGTAAAAATGGAAGGACAAAGATGCTAGAACAAAATGAAGAATAATATTGGATGAGGAAGGAATGAATAATTATTATAAAATAAAAAATTATAAGTGAGTTTGCTTGTTGGTTGGCAAGCTTGGGTTAAATGATGTAAGCCAGTCATAACTAAGCTCTAGGTTATGCAACTCAACCCATCATTGTTTGGCAAGGTTGGGCTCAAAGTTTCATCTCATATTACCAACTCTAATTGAGATTAAGAAAAATACAATTTAATAGAAAAAGTTTCAAAGATTATGAGCCCATGCCTTTACCTAATATGTCAAGTTTGGATGCCATTGGGAATGGATTAAAGTATGCCTTTACCTAATAAGAAATGAATTAAATTATGATAGGAGTTGCATTGTATGCGAAATTGACAAGATTGCTGTAAAGCCTAACTTCTGAGCAAAAGAAAATTTATGATAAAATTGATGCCATTGAATTTGATAAAATCTCAAAGATTATGAGCCAGCCTAAGCCTTTACCTAACATGTCAAGCTTGGATGCCACTGGGGTTGGATTAATAAGAAGTAAATTAAATTATGATGGGAGTTGTGCTGTATGCTGAATTGACAAAATTGTTGCAGAGCCTAACTTCCAAGCAAAAGAAAATTTATGATAAAATAATTAATGCTATTGAATTTGATAAAGGTGTTAGTACTAGGAAGACGTATGTTTAAAGGAAACATCATGCTTCATTAACATCTAAAGGTAAAATAGTTTTTAATGTAGCATCAAACGAGATAGTTTCTTTATTGCTCCCAGGAAGACAAACAACTCACTCACTCATAATTGTGTGTTCCTCTTTTTATAATTGAAAGCACTATATTTAGCGTGAAATAAGAGAGCAACTTAGTTGAATTACTAGTTCACATGTCATTGATTGTGGGAGATGAGGCTCTAATGGCACACAAGTTTTGTTTTAAAGCTCTTGACATATACTTAAAGAGTATTCTAAAGCAACCCATTAGTTGACGATCTTCCCTCATGTTATTCTGTTTGAGTCAAGAGAAGACATTGTTTTCATACATTTAGGATAATTATCAACTTCTTACACTAACAAGAGACATGAGACTTATGAAAACAAATAATGAAGAATCTATTAGTGCTCTTCAGGATTTTACTTACTAGATTATCTTAATTAGTGATGGGATTGCTGCTAGAGTTAATGAATGATCTGTGAATATTAAGATTCCAACTAACTTGTTACTAGATAATTCAAATAATCTAATAAAGTCTATTATTGATTAACAATGTCTGTAATTCTTAAAATTTTAGAGATAGGGCTATCTTTGCCCTTACAATGGTTGTGGTTGAAGAAGTAAACAGACACATGTTGTCCCTACTCCTCAGATAGGAAGTTGCATACTTGAGCTCTAATAATGTGACAATGGAGAGATTAATTCAGTTGATGACTTGCACTCTATAAACTTTCAAATTCAATTACAATGTCAACCTTATGAATCATGAAATAAGGCTAAAAAAACTATTTTAATGTGGAAAATTGATAAGTCTATAGGTTGCACAATGATACATGTCTCATAGTTATATGAATTGCAAAAGCATATTATTGTGGCCCAAGAAATGTCTAGGCCATTTACAAGGACAAAAGTATGTATATCGTGTATTGCCATATGTCTATTTGATTCTAGGTTACCATTAACTATGAGAAGGAGGTAATTTTTTATTATGTTAGCCTTTGCAATGACCATTAACAAGAATTAAGGCTAGAGCTGTTGTTACATTGGGTGACCTATAGCCAGCTATACATTGTTGTTTTTTGTGTTCAAAGTATGAAGGATTTAAAAACGTTGGTTCTTGATGAGGATAATCACTCCACATACATAATTATTAATGTCATTTATGAGAAAGCCTTCAATAATTTGATCTAATTAATTATGAATTTTTGTTAATCCACTTTTCATTGTATCCATTCCGTTCACACCACATGCATTTAGTTTTTACCATTTATTTAGCTTTAATATGCATATGTAAAATTAAAGGCAATAATTACACAAACCCATTACTTATAGGATGAAGGTAGTACAAGTTATTCTTTTAAAAAAGATCTTTCTACAAAATTGACATTTAATTATACAACTTTTGTATAAAAAACCCATGCATCGCAGGAGTATTTTGGTAGTTATTCAAAAATATTATGACACTTTTTCAAATAAATTAAATTTGGGTAAAATACCATATATGTAAGAACGGAGAGAATATAAATTATTACAGGATGATGGATATAATTACATTTAACACCCGCCAAAACACCCTTTCCCCTTTGTATTACCGGAAACATCTAACTACCCTTCCCCAATAATTGATGACAACGTTGATAATTAAAAATAAGTTATAAATGTTTTCTCAACATATATACTATATAAACCTTTTGTATTATTTTATACAAAAAGTGTAGTGTTTTTTTTTTTAGTTGCCTAAAAAGTGTTGTTTGAATCTTTAAAATATATTTGTATGCATATCAAAGGATAAGAAAGAAATACTAGTGTAATCGAATTCCCGTAATTTCTTGTTAGTACTCTTAGTAATTTAATACTAATAAGCGGACAGTGCAGTTCTTTGGCCAAAACAAAAACAAAAAAAAAAACCAAAAAACAAAATATTAACTTCTCTTCAGTTTTTTCAGTCAAAGGAGGACTGACCCAAAGTGTGTCCCCGCACGTGACCTCAATCCCCGTTACCAAGAACATTTCTTCATGCACCTGACCCCCAATCCCATCCTTGCTACGTGTCGTCTTAGTATTTGCCCGATTCGTGTTTCGTTTTTGAAATATCTCACATGCCTTCCCCAGTTTTAAATTTCCGCTGAACCTCGCTTTTTAAGTTTTTTTACTTATTATTGCTTCTTGCTCTCCGATTTAGTAAATAGGTCGGTTGGATGACTTGGATCCTATAAAATAGGTTCGTTCCAGTCATCAAATAAACAGTCCTCCTTCTGCTTCATTGTCGTCTTCTTTAGCAAAACCTCCCCTCCTTCACTGTCTTCTTTCTTCTTTTGAAAAACATATCTGTGCCTTCTCATTTCTCGCTGATTTCCTGAAGCTATTTGCTCCGCCATACTTCGACTGAGCAAGGACAACTTGCTGCGTGTAGCTCCTTGATTTAGCATCATATATTCCTTTTCCTTTTCCTACTAAATATTCTATCGTCATCTTTTTCATTTCTCTTTATCTTTCAACTTTGTCTGAAAATTTCCACTTTCCCTTCTTACGGCTCTTGGGTCTCCCCCAATATCCCTCTGCTTTCCTTGCCTTTTGCATTACCTGACTCAGCTTGTGCTGGGCTCTCTGTTCTCGCTCCTCCCATTTCTTATATCTGTTTCACGCTTACACGCCTTTTCGGTGTCACTTTCCTGGCAATTTCTCGCTCTTTAATGACATCTCAACCCATATTCAATTCATTCGTGCTAGATTTCTCTGCGTTTCAAGCTTATCTCTGACGGTTGGATTCTCTGCCTTTGCTTTCTGTTGCCTTCGTTATTCTCTACCCGTGTACTGTTCTAGTCTCGAAGGAATCCACATCTCTCTTCCTTTTACTTTCTCTCTATTTTATGCTTCACCCCTCAATGTCATCTCTGTTAACAGTCTAATCCGCCAGCTGCTCCAATATGACTGCGCCTTCCATCAGATACACCCACCACACTAAACTTGTCTCACCGGAGGAACAACACCATCTGTGCCGAGGAATGAGGTATCCCAGGGTTGTTAGAATATGCGTGGCAGACAGCGATGCCACCGATTCCTCCAGCGACGAAGAAGGAGGGGCTATCACGGGCCACCGCGGAAGGAGGTTCGTCAACGAGATTACCATCACCCAAAACGATGTCGTTGCTAAGCCTGAGAACAAGCGCCGGAAGAGTAATAGGAGCAGAGTGATGGGAAGTCGGCGGGCGATGAAGGCGTCGACGGCGAAGAAGTTCAGAGGAGTGAGACAGAGGCCGTGGGGAAAATGGGCGGCGGAGATCAGAGATCCTCTGCGACGTGTACGGTTGTGGTTGGGAACGTACGAAACTGCAGAGGAAGCTGCGATGGTGTACGACAAAGCAGCCATTCAGCTGAGAGGAGCAGAGGCACTGACCAATTTCATAACGCCACCGGGGAAGGTGACGGAGGAGAAGAAGTCGGATTCCCCGAAATCTGTTCTTCAGTCTCAGTACTGTAGTTTGTCAGAGGAGGTTGAATCTGTAACAACCAAAGATGATATGAGTGAATGTCGGGACGAATCGCCGTCGTCGTCGTCAGGGGTATCGGAGAATTTCTCAGAATTTCCGGCGGACGTATTCGACTTCGAGACATCGCTGCCGGATATATTTGATGACACAAATATTACAGGAAGCATCTACTCCGATGCGTGGGTCACTCCCGCCGAAAACTTCAACTTGGGTTTCGATTTCTATTCGGGTTTCGGATTCTCGAGCTGGCACAGAGATGACTATTTTCAAGATATCGGTGATTTGTTTGTCACAGATCCTCTTGTTGCTCTTTGAGAAGTAAGCAATAAAATAGGATAGGATTCTCGTAGAATCTGCAATTTTTGTATGGGATTTGGGATTTGACTTTGTTTTGTTTATCGACTATTATTTTTTTCTTTTTTGAAAATTTCCAATTTCATGAGGCATTGCTACGCCTGATGAGCTGCACTGTTATTTGACAGATGAGCTTCGATCTGTGTTCCTCGGAATTATCTGTGTCAATACTTGGAATTTTAAATTTCCGTTAAAAATTTCATGTGAATGGCACGCAAATGTTAGATTCGAAGCAGTTGATCTTTATTTTATAACTCATCACTCTACCCGACTTGTTTTTAGTATTTCAATTTCATTTGGTAAAGAGTACATGCATAGTATTTATTTTATTAAACAAATAAATTGAAAAGAAAATCGGAAGGAATCTAAACAAAAGGGCCTCTCGCTTGTCTGCCGGTAAAGATTGGGAGTTGTTAGGTGAGGGAATGTGAGGATTATTATCCTTCACTGTGCAGTGTGGACTGCTTAACTAAAAATATTTTACCGTTTGAACGAAATTTTCATTCAAATATTTCCACTTTCTATGGAGAAAAAGAAGAGAACAAGAGAACAGGCTCTCTTTTAGAAAATGAGCGATTAATATTAAATCCCTCGAACTAATATCATCATATTGAAGGCACATAAAAAGCAATATGCGGAGGTAGGGGGATGGATTCGAGAAGAAGGCCCTATATCAAAAGGTCACGTATTTAAAAAAGAAAAGAAGTTAATATTACGCCCTTTTTTAATCCTTATGCATATATCATGGTCTGTAAGCTCCAACAGATAAGAAGTTATATTATATATGTCCCGCAGATACGCATATGGGGTGTTAGGAATACCTGGATTCAATTCGATGGAGGAGAATAGAGTAAGTAGTTTTACGAGTGGATCGTAACCTTTCAACCCCATGAAGCATATTGAAAGAGAAACCGACTACTAAATTAACCACGGTTGATGGACGAAATTAATATGCCTTTTAACACGGGTACTGGTGGTAAAATCAAGTTCAGCGTTTCCCACGTTTTTTTTTCACCACCAAAACTCCATTGCAAAGTGTAATTTTTACAAACTTCATAAATAATTTGAATCAAAGCTAAAATTCTAAATTCTCTTTTTTTATGAACTCTAACATTCTAATTTAGAGGATGTTCCCATGTCTTCGTGATTTACATGTATCATTAGTAAGGATCTTGTTTCTGCTTGTTTTTTTTTTCTTTCTGTCATGGAGATTGTTTTTTTGGGTGAATTTGATCCAGTAGAATGATCATTGATATTTACTACACCTGCTGTTTCCATATAAGATACTCTCAATTCTTTTATTAGAATCAATGAATAACAGTTAACCTTTTAAACATGTCTTAAAATTTACAGTAGGGGTAAGATTGAAAAATGATAAAAAATAATTCTTCATATGTCTTTTATTAAAGACTAAAAAATACTCTTCTAAAAGATTTCCTATAATAGAAACCGGATGGAGTAATTAATTTTATTGGTATTCACAATTTTACCAGCACAATGTGTTACAAAATTATTACACGAAGAGGTATAAAAAGGATATTGCAATGTTATAGTTGGAAGGGGCATGAAAAGGATATATTCCTGCTATTTAGAATTATAAGACATTTTTGATTAATTTATAACTTCAAAAAATTAATTAATAGCATTTAAAATTAGTTAACACCACGCTTCCCTTGTTAAGAATTACTATTTCGGAAGAATCTTATTAATTACATATGGAAAGGCCTAAAATGTCTACATTTTTTTTATCATAATATTTCAAAAAAAATATTTTTTAACACTAAACATTAGAGTATTAATAAAGGCTACTAGCTAGGTTTGAATTTGTTAAAAATTCTTAAATAGATATGTTGCACCACGATACCACGTCATTGATAGTTTATTTAATAAAATTACACTAATTTAGTCCAAAAAAAATTATGTGTTATTTTTTTTAATGATTTTATTTTTGTGATAGAATGCTTTATGTAATTGCTTACCTTTTTTCTCTCTATTATCATTAATGTTATGATTATTTTAGATTTAATATCATTTAAATGTTATTTTTTATTGGAAGGACTATGAATGATGTAATGCACTTAGTGTATCTAAAAAATTTTTCTTGAATTTGTATTTCATTTTTCGTTTAATTTTTGAATTAAGTGAAACTGTTTCAAAGTGACATACTTCATCCAATTTAAAATACAAACATTTTTTCGCAACTAATCTCAATTTAAAATATATGTAACTTAGTACATATAAATTTTTTTCTTGTATAAATTTATCTCTTAGTTATCTTGAAGAGCATTAGTAATTGAGATTAAGTGTAAAAATGAAAACCATCATATATTTTTATGAGAATGAGACTTTATTGACAGGTAAATTTTTCCTAAAAACTATTTATATCCCATACCAGATGGAGTATATAATAATGTTATTATGATGGCCAAATGAACTAAAATTTCTGTCAAGAGCAACTTTAGGGCGAAAGAAAAGGGCAGACAGTTTGTAGAAGGGCAAAAGGCGTACATATTAAAACATTCCAACATAGTTCAGTTAAATTTTCAGAGAAATATTTACAGTGCACAGATTACTCATGAGAAGTTAAAAGATGGGATGCAGCGGAGCGATTGGGCCATGACTATAGTATTCTGCATTTAATGTTTACAGGAAACGACAAAATCATCAGATATTTTGAGAGAGAAAATTTTCGGGGGGCGAATGAAGCAAAAGAGACAATGAAAATTTGTTGCGGCTTTTCGGTCCATTCACTCAAATGACAATTCTGAGCTGTGACAGATGCCGATTGCCGAAACCCAGACCGGGTCTGCCTCAGCCTCACGCTTCAGCCTGTCTTTGCATTTCTTTTATATGGACAAGCATGGCACCAAGTTATAATACTCCATTGCCAACCATAAATCAAGAATTAAACTTAATAATTTAATTGTTAATTAAGTAAAATATATGATGTAACTGGTCACGAAGAACGTCATTTTTTTTCTTTTTTTTTTTTGGCAATATTCCGACGTGCTCCCGGACGTGGGGCAGAAGCGTGCGACCCACATTCCATCAGCATTGCCCCACAATTAACACCATCACTATCAGTCTTGCCAAGACCAAGATCTTCTCCGTCATAATAAAACCAAAACACTCAAGGCATCAACCCAACCTCCAGATTAGCATATCGTCTCCATTAACTGCACATCCTTGTCATCCTCATCCATTTCTTGTCCTCTCTTGTTCCCTCTCACGAAGTTGTTGGCACCAAATTAGAAGACTAGCCACATTTTAACTAATTAATCTCAATCTATGCATAGCTCCAGGAGTTTGGTGTAATAAACTGGACTAATTCCTGATGAATTGAAATTATTTAATATCAAACTGTGCTACTATAGAAAGATAGAAGTAATAGAAAAAGAAAATAGAATACAGCCACAGAGTACGGTGCGTCTGAGATAAAATGTGCGTTCAGAAAAGACAAACATTCTGGGGGACAAGAGAGGGTGTCGTTTTTCCGGAGTGACTCATGTCCATGCAAGCATGTACGTCCTTCTCGGTGTGTAAAACAAAATGGTGAATATATATATATATATATATCTCAGGTATTAAATGTTAACGGTGATACGTGAAGAGGCTATGGTGATTCAATAAATTAAATGGCGGGATTTGATTTTGGAGAGGGGCGTGAAAATGTGGGAAATAAAAGCGCATAGAAGAGTCGCTATCTGGTAGATCAGGAATTGCAGGTCTTATAAATTCGGGTTCTGAATAAAAGGCCTTTTGCATATTGTCATTTGCAAACAACTGGGATTTTCGTCACAAGCCCCCGCTTGGTCCTCCAACTAGCTCCCATATCTGGATTGGTCCCCCCACCCAGTATCCTCCATATCTATATTTCTGCCCATTAACTAAATCTACCAGTTTGCCTCAAATCACATTTCATTAGTTCACTCTTTGAATATTGCCACTCTCCATTTGGTGAGTAATCTTTCCTGTAAATCCAGCAATCTGAAGTTCCGAAGAATGGAATGGACTGGAAGCGAGGGGAAGGAATGGCCGTTGAGATTTGAGAATGTGGAGAATCTGGGGATTGTCATTCTGGGGGACCCATGTGAAGAATTGGGACGGTACACGTGGCCTGAGTTTGACGGTTTCTGGGCATCGAAGGATGAGGGGCGAGTGGGGGAGTGGGGTGGGGTCCATTTCTCCCGTGGTCCCTACGTCTCGTCCAGCTCATTCATCACTGTACTAAGGACATGATTGTGATGGCGGCCCCACCTCTCCTTGTCAAACCCCTCCTTTAGCCTCAGATGAGCGTCAACGTACCTGATTTTCCCCCCCAGACATGCCACATCAGCTTACCTTCTCTGTATCGCTCTCTTGCTCTTTTTTTTTTTTTTTTTGACGTGTCATCTCCCTACTGATTTACAGAGCTACTGCTACAGTAACGTCCCACTCGCTGACACTCTAGTGAGGAGGGGAGAAGGGAGGTTTGCACTTTATATAAGTATAACGGACGACATTACAACGGTCACTTTTGGTTGAATAATAATTAACGAGGATGGGCACGTTCTAATCTAATCTCATTCTACATATAGTAAGCAGATTTAAGCCTAACAATTTTTTTCAGGCCAGAAAGTCTAACATTTACTATTCTGATTCAAATGGTAAGATATTTTTAATCAAATTTTATATATTAATAAAAATAGATATTTTTTATTTTTATGAAGAAATAACATGTCTTTTTATGAGTCAGGTTACGTTTTTCATTCCCACATTTATCAATATAAGAATAAATTTTAAAAAAATGTTATGTATCTTATATTTTAGACTAAGCTCGGTTTAAAAAAAATGTCTTACGATTTAGAGGAAAGGGGGTAGTGTACTTAAAAAAAAAAAAAAATTTGAAGGAAAGGCGACACACGTGAAGCGTTTGGTGGGCAATTAATTACTAATGAATCATCATATAAAGTATAAGTATCGAAAGGCTTAAACAATTTATATTGTTGATTAACCTTGAATAATACATGAAACTTTATGCTTTGTACTTGTCCTTTTTTTTTTTTTGATAACTTATACGCTTTCCATTCTAAATTATATAACAATTTAAAACCAAATTATGTATATAAATAAAATATAATAATGATATTTTATAAATTTATTTTTTTTCAAAGTAAAACTATAAACTTTCAAAAACACTCTTACCTACTTAATCATTGCACCACAATATCATTTTAATCAACAAGACTTTATCTTTTTTAAATTGTCTTATATTTTGAGATAAAATTTTTTTTTTAAAATTGTCATATAATGTGGGATAAAGGGAGGATTTGGCTAGCAAGATGCATGAGAGAATCAGAAAAGGCAAAAAGAAAGGGCTGTTAATTTTGTGTGTTTTTGGTAGAGGAAGTGATTCGGGGAGAGTGGGGCAAGGGTGGACCATTGGCTTGGAATGTTGATGAGCAAACGGAGCGACAGGAATATCTAGCTGAAGAGGATGGGGGAGTCCCATAAGGAATTAAGGATCTAATCTTATTTATGGGTTAGGGTTTTAGAAAAAGCTAATGAGACACGCGCGGCACACTTGCCCAAGATTTTCATGCGATTTTAAGACAGGTCAACATCGTCCCAAATTCTCCCCAACTTTAGACGAATCCAAGAAAAATTACCTGCTTATGGGATTTTTGATGTACCTCACGAGTGTAGAAGCCTTTTCTAAGCCCCGTGCTCCTGCCGTAGCCACTGATATTAGAACAAGCCATGGTTCAATTCAAACATAATATTCCTTTGATATCAAATTATAAAATAATTTAAAATAAAATTATGTATATCAATAAAATATAATAATGACATTTTATAAATTTATTTTTTAAAACAAAACCATAAATTTTTAAAAAATGTCTCTGCACATTTAATCATTAAATTACAATTTCATTTTAATTCTCTCTTCATTTGGAGGATAATATTGAAAAAATACCATTAATGAAACCTTATTTTTTCTCAAATATTTTTATGCTCCCTTTGATCCTATTTATAAGACACCTTGTAGAAATAATTTTTGATCCAAAATATAGAACATCTTACAATAATTAAATTTTTTTTAATTTTACCCCTTCTTGATTTATGTAAAAATATTTAATATAGTTGTATTATTATTTAAAGTCAAAGGTAAAAATAAAAGTGCATCTTACTTTTTCATGATATCAAGAAAAAATTAACTTTTTTAAAATGTGTAAAATGATTAAAAATGTCTGAGGGTTGGATAGCCTATTTTGGGACAATTTTTTTTTTCAAAATTATCTTTTAATTTGAGATAAAGGGAATATTAGCATGATTAATTTTTTCTCAAATAAATAGAACAAAACAAACAGATAATGGGATGCATGGCAACCCCTGTTTGGGTCATGACTCCTAAAAGAGTACTCCCTTTGTTCCTATATATAAAAACTTTTTAGAATTTTTTATCTCTAATTATAAAAGATTGTTAGTATATTTTTTAATAATGGACTATTATATCCTTATTAAATTAAAAGAAATAAAAAATAAGTACTGTTATTAATTTACTTTAAAATTTTTTTTTATTTACAATAATTAGAGATAAAATTAAACTATTACTGTATTTTTTAATTAAATAATTAATTTTTATTAATTTATATGATTTGATTAAAAATATTTTATATATATATATATATATATGGCGACGGAGGGAGTAACTCTCTCCCTCTCATCCCTGCATTAACAATTTAGCACTCACAGGCTGAGTCATGCCATCTCGCGTTGCTCGTTTTGGTTGGGACTTGGGATCATGCAATAATTAAAAAGCTGCAGCGAAACCATATATAGAGGACATTAGCACTGAGCCATGTTTCCAGTTACCACTTTCGGTGTAGCTTTAACGTAAAAAAGGGGTTCGATTCTTCCTCATAATTGGATCCTTATGGCCCGTTTACTATCTCGTGTCTTTCTGGGTCTATACTTGTTCTGTACATTGGTAATAGCTAATACCATAAATCCTCATTACTCTTTCATGGCTCAACTGGTAGCCCATAAAAGAACAAAAGGCTTGTTGAAATGTAGCGAGTCTTTTTGTTTTGTTGCTTTTTTAGGGAAAAAAAAAATTCCCGACGAGGCGATGTAACAAGTTATGATGGAGATAGTTCGATTTTTCCAATTGGTATGCTACAAATCATATGATTGTTTCGTAAAAGCTTGCCAAATCCAACATTGAGAATGACGTAGTTTGAGCAGGAGCCAAGCCCGTTCGTGCACAGGGAGCACTCTATATGCTAAAATGGCTTCATATTCCGCCTATTCCTCTTCGCCACAGCAGCTATATTGGATTGCATACTGCTTTGCTGTCTCTCTTTTAATTAACAACATAACAGTTTCTTTCACACACGCACGCGCGCACACGTTTGAAGTAAACCTTTTTTTCCTTGTCTCCACGATGAATGAATTATCCCAAACTCAAGAGGAGCAAGAACACTGCTTGATTTTGCATTGTTAATAATTAGGGGTGTTGTCCCTCAATTTGGTTTGATTCAGTGCCAAAGCGACCAAAACTGGTGGATTGAACTAGCCTCAAAAATTGAACTGAATTTCGCATGATAATTGAAATCAAAAGCCGAAGGAAACGAACTCAAATAACACGATTCAGTTTGATTATCCAGTTAGGTTCGGAAGTAGAGCAAACTAGCAGCGGAGTGACGAAGAGTGTAAAGGGACAACTCAAAGAGTGAGAACTTGTGCATTCATCAGCGAAAAACCATTGCTGAGACACTAATAAAAGACGTGAATAAGGGTCGGGCAGCTTTGCTGAAGCGCTGAGATAGGTAGGGATGAAGGCAAGCTGGGAGATTGAGAGAACTAAGAGAGTTAGGGATGAACGCTAGGGCAAGAATGAAACAGAAGGTGCTAGAGTATGATCCTAGACGCAATGTGAGGAGAGAGAGGCAGAGCGTGTTTAGCCGTGGTGGGAAAACAAAACAGAGAATATTTTGATTTACTTGGTCAATTCAATCTCAAGAGAGCTAAACAGTATCAAATCAAAATAGATCAAAATTTTTCAAAAAATAACCAAACTGGATTACATAATTGAATGAACCCAACTCAATCTGGTTCAGTTCGATCTTTGGTCTTGGTTTAATCTTGCTTGCCCCTAGTTGTTATCATTGATGCGTCTCTTTTTCAGCCATGATTGAACCTTTCCCTCTCTCTTTGCTCTTTCTAGACGCGCAAGAGCCGTTTATTTCCAACACTCGTTCCTGTCAACGGACAAAGTATGCATGCTGACAAACAACTGTTGGTTTTGGACTTTTGCAAAAATCGGACACAACGTTTTCTTTCTTTTTCTTTTTTTTTTTTTTTGAAATGATTGCAGCATCTAGCAATACGGACTGCTGCACACATGCTTTTAGGAAAAAATTCCTTTTGTTCAATAGCTCTTGAACTTGTCTGTGAACCTCTACATGCTTCTAAGGATTCATTCTATACAAGCAAGCTTGTTGGGAATGATAGCGCCTAAAGTGAAATCAATGGCATGCTGTATGTTCCACATCAGTGGCAATACAGATATAATGTCATTTGGTATTACATCCAGAAATTAAGCTAGCAGTTGTTGAACATCTGCCAAAATGATGGAAACTTTAGCATTGGTTTCAAGGATCAAGATAAAGCTCAAAACTAAGACTTCTGCTTTTGTCACCTTGAACTGCTCTCTAGTCATTAGGGATAACAATAGCTTGGACTCTTGCTTGCTCTAGCTGTACTTCTCTAGCAGCAATGGTGTTAGCTTAATTTTTACTCCATCATTCTCATTGGAAGTAACAGTAACTGTTGCTCGTGGTTATCTTGTGTCCAGCAGCTAACACTGAAAGACTATCATTTGTACCGCAAAGAAAGAAAGACTATCATGATACTTTTGCCATCTTCGACCTTGAATATTGCTGACTGGGCATGACGATTTTCACACAATCTCGATCCATATGGGAAAACAAATTAAAGATTGTCGTTCTTTTTTTGGGGTTACTTTTAGCTTCTTCTACTTCTTGTTTTTTTTTTTTTTAATCTCATGGCTGCAAACTTCGGGTTGTTGAACACCCTGTCTATTTAAAAAAAAGCAAACATAATTAAACTTACACAATCTGTGTGCTGATATTATTAATTTAATCTGAAGAATTGAGGTTAGAGGTTAACTTTTATAGTAAATTCTTTGCATATTAGTTCGGGGTGTTAAAAGTCCATCCCCAAAAGTTAGTTTTTCTATGGTTTGGTCCCCCCCCCCCAAAAAAAAAAAAAAACTTGCAAATGTTTTTTTACCTCTCAATTCCATCCATTCAACTAACTCTATTATGATCTACGACACATTAGAGTTTTGCATCACAAAAAATGTCCCGGGATCCTTGCTTGATTTAAGAAGAATCATATACATGCTTGTTTCCAGCTTCTCTGTATATCATATTTCACCATTTACCAGCAATGCAATGATCGCCCCATTGTTGAATTCAGGAAAATTTATTTGGTGAATCTACCAAAAGCTCATGACGCCAAATCAAGTTAATTAAACTAGTTTGAAGATTGACTTAAAGGAAAATATGAATATCTGCTACAGTCATAACATTGAATATGAAAAATCAGTAGGGAAGCACAAGCTCGGTATACAGCACCAATGAGTTCGACCAGACGGAAAAAAGTAACTGTTGAAGAAATCGTGTGGGAAACTCACTATGGCTCACATTGTTTAAACCAAACACAATCTAGTCTGAACCTAGCATCCTCCGTCAACCTATCCATCTTGAAATTCAGAAGCCGGAGACATCGGCCGAGTGGATGAGATATGTGAGTACCAACGCCAAAAACATCAGCACGTACGCGATTCCTTGATCAATGGCCGTCCCTGGTAGCGCCAAAACAAATCACACCAAAGTTATCCCATTTTACAAGAAATAATTAAGCATCGCAACAGCAACAAAGAGATCAAATTAAAAAGCAAGGCAACCAAACACATTTGGAAGATGTATTTTATGGAATTCAATGATCAGGAGGAAAAACAGGCGGCTAAGTCAGATCCAAGTGCAAAGAGAATGTAAACAGAGGTTAGCGTCTTAGATCTAAGAAGTGGATGAAGAGGGAAATAACCGTCGCTAGTAGGGGCAGGGGCGGAAGCAGGGGATTGAGCATGAACAGCAGAGGGCATGAGGAGAGCGAGAATGAGAGCGGGAAGAAAGGTCAAAACACCGAAGGAGAGCCTGGAAGAAGCCATTTGAAGCTGGAAGGAGGGAATGGGAAGTGGGGGTGGGGTCTCTCTCTGCAACGCCTCTCAGGGGAACTGAGGAATGTCGCGGAGAGAGAAAGAAGAGAAGGAAAGCAGAGAGCAGGGAGGGGCTGGGCGGGGTTTGAATGGAATTTTGGGAAATGTTTGGAGAATCCAAAGGGCAAAATTTTGGGGAAGATGACGAGGACGCCGCAGAGTTTTATGGTTCCCCTGTTGAGCTGGAGCAGAGCAAAAGGTGGGGAGCCACGACCGGTATGACCGGTCACCCCTGAACCCCTTGTGGGGTCCATCCGCTTCTCTCGCTCCCCATGTGATTCGATTCCCCTCCACCCCCTGTCTCTCTCCTTTTTGGCGCCATTCCTGCTCCTTTCTTAGTGCCCTTATTTTCAATTCTCTCTCTCTGTTTTTCTTGGGACCTGATCTGTCTGATTTTTCTACATGCTTTTTATGTCTTTCGTTGTTCTGATAGCCTTTTATTTTTAGTTTTTATAATTTTATGTATTATTATCAAATTTTTAAGTTAATTCTATAAATTTAATTTTTTTATTTTTAATTTATAAAATTATATTAATTTATTTATAAATTCAGATTAAATAAAATTTTATTAAACTTGTGAGTTGACTCTTTAAATTTATTATTTTTATATTTTTAATTTATAAAATCATATCAATCAACTCATAAACTCATCAAGTAAGATATATATATATATATATATATATACTATATAGAACTTAATGTATAGAAGCGATGGAATTTGGTTCAATAAAAAATAAAACTAAAAAAATAAAACTTCATATTAATAAAAAAAATATAAAAAATAAGTTGTGATATTTTAAATTTTTTATATTGAACATAATTGTCTATAAACATAGATAAAGTTAATTTCATTGATTTATGCTTAAAACATATTTAAATTAAATTATAATTATATTTTATATTTTAATTATTTAATCATATACTTTTAAATGATATTTATCAATAAAAGTTAACTCCTGCAAGTTTATAATTTGAGTCTATATGTCTGTTACTAGTTTATTTAAACTCATAATTTTATTTTCAATTTTTTAATTTGATTCGTGCCATGTCCTTGTAATTTTAAAATATATATATATATATATATTATAATTTGATACCTATAGAATTAATTTTACTAACATGTATTCCTTATAATCCTATCTATAAATCATTTTTAATATATTTCATTAAAATAAATAACAATTTTAAATTTTATTAATTTTTTCTTAAATTTTAATAAATTTTCACCCCTATCTTATAAAAACAACAAGAACTATTTTTAATAATTTTTTTAACATTTACTAAGGTATAAAGGTAAAAATAAATGTAAAAAATAATGAAGTGTCATATAAATAGGATCAAAATTAATATTTTTTTACCTTATAAATAAGACTAGAAGAGTATTTAATTATGTTAATCTTTTTGCTAACTTGTATTTAATTTTTTATTTATCTTACATTTTGTAAACAAAATTAACAGAAAAATTTTTCTACTTTTCCTTTTATTTTTTAATCATGATTGGTCAATTTAATTTCGTGTTAACATATTTTGATCATGTAAAGAAATGTGTTGGTAGAACTGCAATAAAACTTGTAAAAAAAATACAATAAAACTAAATCTGTAAATTCTAATTTATTAATTTTATATTCATTTTTAATGTAATAGGATTAATGTTACGTGCCCTTTAAATTAAAAGGCGCAGAAATAACGAACTGAGTCACTAAACTATTATATTTTTTACATTTAAATATGACATTCCTCTCTCCCTCCCCACTTTGGTGAAGGGTATTTTTGAGAGATTTTTACATGTATGGTTCATTTAATAGGACTAAATAAATATAACAGCCTAACATTTCAAATATTTTGCAAAGTGATCGGATTAATATTTTAAGTTAAATTAAAATGATAAAAATGCCCCTTCTCCTTAAATATGAAATCTCATTATCAAATCTGAAATATATTTTATCCAAAAAAAAATTTGAAATATATTATACTCGTTAAGTTAATGATAAAATATTCAAGAGTACTCAAATATTGAAGCAGTATATGGTTAAAAATGGGCCATGATTATAATCATTCAATTACAAGAGTTTTATTATTTTGTTAAACAAGTTTTTTTTTTATTTGCATTGGGGGATAGCAAGAAAAAAAATCACATCCAACTGATTGTAAATAGATAACATTTTAGAATTTTAAAAAACTTCTTCCATAATTCCTGATTACTATATTTTTCACAGTCATTTAGTAAATTTACTCTATTTTTATCTTTTTAATTCATCATATCATCATGATAAGAAATAAAAAATGCTACTTATTATTTACCCCCATCCTTTTTTCTTATTTTCTATTTTATCAACCTTTTTTAAAGGAAATCCTGCTTCATCATTCAGATTTCTTATTATCGTCTTATCTTCTTTTGCACAAAAATAAAATAAAAGAACAAGAAACCCAGAGGCCTCTGTCCTTATGCGGTGGATTGTGCTGATTGATACTTCATGTGTAATTTTAAGAAATGCCAGCCAACGCCAACACACAACTTTTCGAACGTCTTCCCCCTTCGCATATCCATTTTTCGTCGCCAATCAATGACAACCTAACATCCTCTGTCTTTTTTCTAAAAGAAAAGCATCAGTGGGAACTTAATTCTGGGCCAAAATAAGCCATGGACCTTAATCTGAACCCTCAGTTGGATTGTTTTGTGGGCTTGGTCTTTAACAGAAAACTGTCTCCTTGTTGGGAAGATGATAAAAATTGTTGTTTAGGAGCTTTAGAGGCCCATGTGTGGCCTGAACCTGAAAATCCAGTGATTTTTGACCTGGCTTCTCTTGCTTGAACAATTTGGAAATGACCAGTAAAATTAATTGTCAATTTTTTATACTTCAATTGTCAATTCTCGTAAGGTAATTGTTAACTGAAGTTGCCAACAAAGTTCAACTTTATTTATAAATCACAAGTAAACTGGTAATATTTAATAAGAATTGATATTTCTAATACAGCAAATTAATAAGTTCTCCGTCCGCTCTCAAATAGAAACCATTTTTCCCTAACCAACCTTGATTTGAAATATAAGAAATGTAATATTTGTAGAAATTGTTTCCTCATTTTACCTATCATATTTATTAACATGGATTTGTGTGTTTCTTATCATCATTCTTAGTCTCTTTCTGGTTTAATTTATCATTGGTAGTTAGGGTTAAGAATAAAAGAGAAAACTAAGATATTTTTCATGAGAATAAAAATATAATTTAACTTTATTGATATATAAATTGTAGTTAAAAGTTGCTTACATTTTAGTCACGGGTATTCTTTAAAGCGTTTTTGCATATTTTGATCTATGCTCATTTATGGTCCTCTTTGTTCTATCTATTGAAAAGAATAGAAATTGTCAAAAATACCAAGGCATCATTCCAATGCTTGCATCACGGATTCGAGCTGCGCTTATAAATGTCTCGACATTTGTCAAATGAAAAAAAAAAAACAAAAGAAACTATGAACTATTATTTTCATGATGCCTCTCCCTAAAAATTATCGCTGCCTAGTTTATACGTTGTTCGTTTCAGATAAACTCTCCCCAAAATATGCAATCAAATGCAAAATTAATTAAAAAAAAAAGGGCAGACAAACAGATCAGGGAATATTGGCACCCGTTATGTGGAGTAAAATTCGATATTAAAACCCAATTTCAGACTCCGAGACCCATTTCTAACTATTTCTAAAGTCATATTAATTAAATTACAATTACAATAAATAATTGATGTAAGGAAAAATTTGACTGAACTTGGATCTTCCTTCCTATCAGACAAGAAATTGAATCGTGAAGTTTACGACTATTTTCAGACGAAAACAAAATACTTTATAGACTTCAAACAAAATACTTCAAATGATGAAGGCCTGTATATTCTAGACGCCCCCCCCCCCCCTTGCCACACTGTATTCAAGACTTTAAACCGTTCATATACGAGTACGTAACAAACGCCAGTAAAGGCGTCAATGATGGTTAACGTCAAAATCACGAAGAAATGCTCGTAATTAATTTTGAAGCATAGTTTGTTCAAGTCATGACATTGGCATCGACAGAGTTCATTTTACTTTCAGCTCAGATCAACCATACATTTGCCGGTCTCCTTGGTTTGAAACACTCGAATTTCATGATAATGACTTTGACACCTGTCGAAAACTTTTATTAACGACACGATCGATCACGCTGTTTTAGATTGAAATCTTTTTATATTTGGTCCCAAAAAATGGCAATCTTATATCTAAATTCACAAATCAATTTCTTTCCATGAAAAGCTCCGATCGAATCCATCTTTTATAAGTAGAAAATAAAATACAGCTGAGGCTTTTAGGATACTGATATTTCATTTACCATTTTGGAAAACATATTTATCTTTGATTAATAAATTGTCACGTTCCGCCTTGACGGTTTCATACTTTCATTCATCGGAAGAACCTGGCTAGAAAACGTGTTGGACGGAGCTGTCAAAGTCCATTCCATTGGATAAAGCCAGCTAAGACTTGAAATAAATTGCTCAAAATGGTGAAGTAACTGAATAGGTTTTACAGTGGTGATAGACTTTATATAGGCGATTAAAATCGAATATCAAAGCTCATCGCTGGGAATATAAACCAACTAAACTGTCGACAGATAAGAAACTGTTTCACCATCTTGTTCCTGTATGCATCCCTATGTATTACGCAACTGCCTCGTACTTTACGTTTTCCACTTTGTCTTAATTCTTTCTTTTGTCAGGTTTTTTTGTCCCCTTCTGTGTCTCAAGCGGCTAGCTCTTCCTTTGCTTTTCCCTTCAAATCCAATATCTTCCTTCCTGCATATAAAACTCAAGATACCCACGTCTGCATTACTTCTTGTCTCTCAAGGGGTGAGCTTTCTTCTTATGGCTTTTTGGTGTTTGTTAATCTTATTTTGCAGTATAATTGTCCTTGGTCACGTTTGACTATGGCTTCTTTCTTTATCAGATCTTCTTCGAGAGTCATTTAAGCTTCGAATATCCCTCTGGAAAGGGTTATATCATAGAAGGATTCTCACGGTAGGTTCACTTTCATTCATCTTTTTAAACTCACTTCCTTGCTACGTAGATTCAAGCCTTCAAAATTTCAGCACTCCAAAATAAACTTTACTTGTATACTGTTGTTTTAAGTTTATTCTGATTCATCTCTGTCCAAAAAAAAAAAGTTTATTCTGATTCATGAACATGTGGGATAAAGTATATATTGCGCTGCATTTCTATGATTTAATCATGTGACTTGGTTTTAAATTCAGTTCCTTTCCTCATGATTGTTGATATATTGCGCTGTATTCCTATGATTTAATCATGTGAATTTGATTCTTGTCTGTGTATTAATGTAGGTATAGTGGCCTATTTACTTTTCTGCCATATTTGATATTCAATTCCACAATCATCATTAAGGGGTTGGAGCCGGAATGGAACAATTCCGGCGAATAGGAGAGGTCGTGGGAAGTTTGAAGGCTCTAATGGTTTTGCGAGATGAGATTCAAATCAACCAAAGCCAATGTTGTTTGATCCTTGATATCTTCAATCTGGCGTTTGACACCATTGCAGAAGAGATCAAGCAGAACCTTGTGTTGGAAGAGAGGAACACCAAATGGAAACCACTTGAATATCCCATGAGAGAACTATGTAGGGTGTTCAAAGAAGGTGAACTTTACATTAGGCAATGCTTGGACTCCAAGGATTGGTGGGGTAAAGTCATCTCATTCCATCACAACAATGACTCTGTTGAGTTTCACATTCACAACTTGCTCTGTTATTTCCCTGCTGTTATTGAGGCCATTGAAGTTGCCGGTGAGGTGTCCGGACACGATCAGGATGAGATGAAAAGGAAGAGAGCTATGTTAATGAGAAAGTATGACAGGGCATGGAATGAACCTAAACTTTTTCAAAGGAGATTTGGGAAGCAATATTTGGTCTCTGGTGAAATCAGCAAGCAGTTTGAGAATGCTTGGAGGGAAGATCGTTGGAGGCTCATAGAATTACTCAAGGAAAAGATGACTTCTACCAGAGTTTCTCTGACAAAGAATGAGCATGGCCTTGCAGATATGCTTATCAAGAAACTACTAAATGGGCCTGAGAAATTGAACAAAAAACTTTTCCCCACTTCAATCCTGTTGGGCTCTAAGGATTACCAAGTGAGGCGAAGATTGGGGAGCGGAAGAGAGTTTAAGGAGATTCAATGGATGGGACAAAGCTTTGCCTTGAGGAATGTGAATGGAGAGATGCAAATACCAGAAACAGAGATTTGTACTCTGTTATCTCTCTCACACCCCAACATAGTGCAGTATCTTTGTGGGTTTCATGACGAGGAAAAGAAGGAATTTTTTCTTGTGATGGAGTTGATAAACAAGGATCTTGAGAGCTATATAAAGGACAACTATGGTCCAAGGAGACAAATCTTGTTCTCTATCCCTGTAGTAGTGGATATCATGCTTCAAATAGCAAGAGGCATGGAATACCTCCACTCTAAAAAAGTATATCATGGAGATCTTAGCCCTTGCAGTATCTTGCTCAAGTCTAGGAATTCCCAAGAAGGCTATTTTCAAGTAAAAGTAACAGGATTTGGTTCATCCATGAAGATCGGTAATAATCAATTCTCATCATGCCAAAATCCCCTTCAAGAAGAGGCGAATCCTTCCATTTGGTATTATGCACCTGAAGTTCTAACTGAGATAGAACATAAGACTAATATATCCAATTCTAACTATAAGTACTCCGAGAAAGCAGATGTCTATAGTTTTAGCATGGTATGCTTTCAGTTATTGACAGGAAAAGTGCCTTTTGAAGGAAATGGGTCAAATAGAAATATCAAAGAAGGGGAAAGGCCACTCTTTCCATACCCTTCACCAAAATACGTTGTTAACTTGATTAAAAAGTGTTGGCAAACTGATCCAAGCCTTCGTCCAACATTCTCTTCTATTTGTAGGATCTTACGCTCCATTAAGAAATTCCTAGCCATCAATACTGAGTTTCTTATCATCAATCCTGAACTTAACCAGCTTGAATTGACGTGCCCACCAGTGGATTATTGTGACATAGAAGCACTATTTCTCAAGAGCTTCCAAACAGAGAAGGCGTCTCTTTCACCTTATGTATCACAGATACCTTATGAAATGTTTGCTTATAAGATTATCGAGAAAGAGAAGATTAGTCCAAGCATAACTAAAGATAAGAGCTTTGAATCTTTAGGAGGCTCAATCTGCAAGGAAGAGAATTTTAAGGATGAAAATGCAGCCACGTTAGAAGATCCAAGCCTGCTTGCAACAGATACGAAGTCATCTTCTGACTTACAATCTATTTGTTCGGAGGTCCAGGTCAAGAAATCTACAAGAATAAAGTGGCAAACAAAACATGAGACCAAAAAAGATCAAGGTTAGTCTCTGAATAGTCAACTCCTTCCACCTTAATGTCATTTTTATTGGGAACATTAATTTAAAAGTATTTGAGCTCAACACTTTTGTTGAAACAATAGAGATATATTTTCTTATATTTGCAAGTTATATTGTATTAGTAAGGTTATGTTATATTTTTGTTAAAACAATTGAGATAATATATCTCTAATTAACATCTAATGTCACACATTTATGGTTTTATTCTTTAAGGGGAGAGAATCTAAAATCTTATGCCTTTATTTGTGTCACTAGCCTGTATCTAAAACAATTAGCACTTCCATAATTTTACTTGCCATATTATAATACTAATTTTACATAACAAATCATCTATGTCATCTTATGATATGAATCTAACAAATAATTAATTGGTATAAAATTGATTTGCATAGGAGCACTAAGGCTGCAACCATCAAGATCATTAGCAACAAAAGAAGCCAATCATAATTCAAGAATGATCAAAGGGAATCGATTGGCATCAAGCATTAGTAGAATAAGGGCTCCCCAAGTTCTAGACTCCAAGAACAACATAGGGAGTCAATCAACATCATTGATAAAATCTTCGAGTTCAATTAGAAGAATCAGACATGGGCAAGTCACTAGTCCTAAGAGCATGTCAAAGACAAAAACTGGTAATGAGTCATCATTAACAAGACGTGGGCATTTCCCTGATTTTAAAAGTAGCTTGCAGATGAAGAAAGGGATTGAATCACCATTGACAAGAAGCAGTCACGTCTTAAATTATAAGTCAAGTTTGAAGATGAAGAAAGGGAATGAATCACCATTGATGGGGAGCACAAGAAAATTAAGGCATCCCAATTTAAAGATGACAAGTAGGAATATGTCACCTTATGCAATGAGTCCTTTCAGTTTCAATACATGCTCGAGAAGATGCGGTCAAGTCTCGAATTTTGATCTCTCTTACAAGATGGACAGAGGAAGAATATCTCCATTTGCAATGAGCCCTTTAAGCCCGTATGCAAGGACCTGTGGTCACATCTCTCAATCTCAAAGAAGTTATAATATGAAAAGAGCAAGCTTGTCGCCACTGAAATTGAGCCCTTTAAGTCCATATATGCAAAGAAATGGTCACATCTCAGATTAATTTTGGCCATCATCTCACCTATCTTTTCATTTTTTACTTTCCAGTTTAGAGATCAATTTGCATCTAGCATGTATTTTGAATTCAATCCTCTCCATTCATGTATTTATTTATATGGAGAGATAGAAAACTGAGTCGATTTTTTCATCGTTGTGAGCAAAGTAAGTGATAGATTAAGAAGTTTCAAAAGATAGCTTTGTGCCTAGATCTATCACGTGGCATCTCATTTGTATATGCCGTTTGCGACGTCCATATAGCTTTTTGTGCTAAATTGCATCAAACGATCGATTAGTTTAATTTCAATTAATTTTAGAGATGCTTTATGTTGTTCTCAGCTGTCTCACCCTTTGTCAAATTCATATATCTTGTTAGAACTTACAAATACATATAATATTTTGTAAAAAGATGCTATATAAAATTGACATATCCCAAACATGCTATACAATATATTGGGTTGACACATCTCAAAGGCTATATATCTCAAACAATAATTTTGTTGAAATGCCATGTAAGTGATGGTTTAAATTTATAACAAATAATCATTGTTTTTAAACCCGGACTGGACCGGCCGATCCGACCGGTGAACCGGTGACCCGGCCATGTGTCTAGTCCGATTTTTCTTTTTATTGTGATTTAAGTTAACCCAGGTTAACCCGTGTGATCGGGGATTAACCCGGATTAACCCGCCCAACCCCTCGGTTCAGGCGGGTTGGGCGGGTTGAAATTTAAAAAAAAATTTGATAATAATTAACCAAGATATATATTTATTTTTGACATGATAATGATTAATGATAGGTCAATAGGAGTCATAGGGTAAAAAAAATCATACTTATGTCAGATGAGGGGACGGAAGAAGCAAAAAGAAATTAAAAAGTATAAATATATATTATATTATATTATTTTTTAATTTGAATTATTTAATTAAATAATTTTTAAAATATATCACTTTTATTTATTATCTTTTATTTTAAAATAAATTTTTATTTCTATTATTTTAACTCATTGAAATTTTTTTATCATTTAGTTAACCTTATTTTAAAAAAATATAAAAATGTTGTTATACTTTATTATTGTTAGAATTATTGTTATATGTTATATGAGATATTAAGACTTGGATATGTATGAACGTATTGAGAATTAATACATTTTTTATTTAAATTATATTATTTTATTATAACCAGTCTAACTCCGGTTTGACCCCCGGTTGAACCCATGACCCCTGACCCCTGAATTTGGCCGGTTCAGTGATCGGTCCGGTTTTCAGTACCTTACAAATAATACTCTGAAGCTGCATTAATAAAATTCAGGACAAAATAGGGGAAAAATTTATATCACAGTTAGTAAATAGCTGTTTTTTTTAAAATAAAAAAAAAAGCTAAATTACGCAATACTCTCCTAAACTTTGAACCACCAATAAATAACCCCCTTAACTTTTAAAACTTAATAATAAACCTCCTTGAACTTTTAAGTTTATGCAAATAACATATAATCATTAATTATATATACCCTTAAACTTTATTGTTGTATGCATTTTTCAAACTTTGATTGATATACGAATAACTTCCTAAAGTTTAAGTTAAATTAAATAAAGTTATTTGCATGAACATAAGAGTTGAGGGGTTTATTATAAAGTTTCACAAGTTAAAGAAATTATATATGCATGATTTAAAGTTTAGGAGAGTAATATATAATTTAGCCTTAAAAAAAGGATAGTTTTCTGGGTTATCAAAAAAGAAAAAAGATAGTTTCCTATATTCATATAACATAACATCCTATTCTCATGAAAAAATGAGCACTGAATTAGTAATAATTTGTGTGAGTATATTTTTCATAATTTTTGTCTTTAAAATAAAAAAACACATGACACATTATGCGCAGGTAATTAATCAAAGATTTACAATCTGGTGAGATATGTACTAAATTCTTATCAACTAAATTAATCATTGTTATTCTTTTAGTGGTCAATGTTTTTTAATTTGCAATGTACTTGTGTGTTTGGAATGATCACAAGTTGAATTCGGCAATCTCATCTCAAAGTTGCTTTGTTGCAGCTACCATACTTTGTCTGATTTTCAGCTGGATTGGAACATTTGCGTGATAATAGTTAGATCTCCTTATTCTAATAATTGTCAACTTGGTATTTTCTGCGGTACTTTGCTAATGATGGGATTCAAAATCAGGCGAAGCATTAAAGATACCAACCTTCTTCCACCTTTTTGGTCTAGGGCATGCATTATGGTGGATTCACAGCTTTCACTTGTTTACTAAGCTAACTCTTCTGACGCCAGCTTGCGTATTACTTGCACGAAGAAGAACTCTGTAGAGCTTCTGCTCTCGCTCTGCCAGCCAGGATATGCAGTAACTCACGGTATTCAGCAGTTCTTTGCCTCCTTCTCTTTGGTTAATTAAACCTTTAAAATTGAATTCTTCTCAATCTAAAACGCAATTATCTTCATTATAATTATCAACTTAAAATTTACTTTTATTTGTTGAGTAATGTTTTTCTAAAAGTATCCTTATCAACTGTACTTATTATTATTCTGAGAAAATAATATATTCAAGAGAGAAAAAATAAAGTATACATTTTTATTTTCTCTAAAATAATATTTATTTAATAAATATAAATACATATATTTATTTAAAAAAATAAATTATTCATATTTTAAAGAGATATATTTGAAATTTAGCATTGGTAATATTGACCTTTTTTCTTGACCTGAATACGTGGATTAATTTCTATATGAATTTCTTGTTGATGGTTTGATTTTTTTTCCCCAACATGTGGCTGGTTTGATTTGCAATAAGATGATTGATAATAATAAATAACAATCAATTGATATATTTACTTTGAAGTTGAAAACGGTTAAAATTATAAAAATAATTGGATAATGGATGTTATCTTTATTTTCCATTTTTCGCCATGAACTTGAAAATAGGGTCGGATGATGAACCTGTCACTTAACCAATGTGTTGGTTGGGTGGATTTTATATTTATGTTTTTATTATTTTATTATTATGTTTTTTTCCGGGTCATCCAACGACATCGTTTTGGCATTTTAAAAAAGAAACAAGATTCAAAATTGAAAAATTAAACAGGAAGTGGCAAACAAGCCAGGAGGATGTAGGCATGTTGCTGAAATCGATCCCTAATCCGCTTAACTTGTTTTGCTCCCCTGATATCTCATTTGTATGGATTCTCGGCGCTTCCTTCCTCCATCTCCACTGTGGTCGCTCGTCTCTGTCATGGTCGCTCGTCTCTTCCTCCCCTTCAAGTGAAGCTCACTACAACATTTTTTTTTCCCCACTTCACTCAACAATTTTATTTGTAACAGTTCTAAAAATATTGTTTAATGTAAGTATTAACAACAATTTTCATATATTACTAATTTTTTTATATGTTAAGCACTAAAGTTTTGGTAACGTTTGAAAATAGTAACTTAAAACGTTTGAAAACTGTTCTTCAAAGTAGAATATACAACTTTTTTTCAAATGTTGTAATAGAATTTTTGAATAGGTGACATAAAAATTATTACCCATAAAGGATCTTTTATGGCAATATTTTTAAAATATTCTTTATTCTAATAGGCAATAAAAATATAAATATTACTTTCAGATCTTCTTTTTGACAATATTTAAGAACTATTACTTGTTGTTTTTCTACCCATAAAAAATTATTTTAATTTATTTTTGTAATTTTTAATATTATTTTATTTATTTATTCTCTTAATTTTTTAATTCATTATTTGGATAAATTAAAAAATTAATTTAACAATTATATATATAGAGAGAGAGAGAATATTTTGCATCATAATATCAAAAAAGTCAAGTTAAAAGAGTGGTTGGAACATTCATTTTTCTTAATAGGCTAAGGGTTTAAATTTAGATAAAGGAAGAAAATATTAAATAGTGGCTATTTAACTATTTCATAACAATCTTAAATGTGGATAAAATTATTTGATAAGCAACATTTCAAAAATATTACAATAAGTTTCCTAAAAATTATTGCTTATTCTCATAGTTAATAGGCAACACTTTAGTTAAAAACACTTGAAAATTATTGCATATACCTTTAAACCTATGGCAACAACTTTGAATCTAGTAGAGGTTGATTAGCCTTGCTCGATTGATTTGATTGATATATTGTTATATTTAATTGGGTGCTAATTGATATTATACATACGACTTAATTCTGGGACAAATTAAAATTTACTGGACAATAGAATAAGGTTGTTCCATTCATGTTCTGCTTCAAACTTCTAGTTTCTGTCATTCATTCTTATGATAAATCTATGATTATTGATTCTTGAATCTAGTATGTGTTCGTTCAACTAGATGCATCAAATATGCCATACATGTTTTCCATACAAATTTATGGCTCTGAAATTTAAGTAGTGAATAACCCGCATCTTTTGCATTTGGTTTTCACTACCACCATGCCTCGGAGGAAAATATATGTGTGTGTGTATATATATATATATATATATATATATTAAATTTTATGATTTTTGATCATGATGTGTCTAGTTCTCAATATCTTATTTTTTAGCCACAAGAGTCACATTCTGTCTAAAAGATGTTCCTGAACAAATGATCATCTCTAATTTTACGAGATGAATTGGGTTGGTTAGATAATTAACGAAGAAGAAGGAAGCATTGCCACAGGTGAGGAATAATGTAGAATGACCAGGGAAAGCCCAAGGGGAGAGAGTTTGGTGCAGCAGACACTTGACAGTTGATAGGGTGAATCAGTGCCGAAGGAGGTAACAGTGACAGAGGTTATAGAAAACCGGCGGATTAGAGTTTGTTGGAGGGTGGAATTCTTGGAACTCCATTTCTCTCATCCCCCTTCCCTTCATCCAAACCTTTCTTAAATTTGGACCGTTCAATTAAATATTTTAATTTTATATTTATTAAAATAAAAAATATAAAAAATTTTATTAAATTTTATCAATAATTTAGATAGTTCATATTTAATGTGAATGATTCAAATTTAATATTAATTT